TGGACGACAAATATCAGCCGAAATTTCAGCTACTGTTTTCTCGCGAGTTTTCGAATTGACCCAGTGCCAACCGTGATCTACGACTCAATCGCATTTGCGACAAACGCGCAATAGCTGAGTTTGAAATCTTCAGCTCATACATGCATAAATAATACCCCTGCAAAGTTTCAGCTTTCTGTCTTGTTTGTACGGGCTCCCGGAAAAAACAAGCAAATTCCTTTGGCTGAAAATACCGTTCACCTGCTACATCAGTGATTGTTTGGGTCGAATGTGCGTTTTTGCGACAGGCTTTGGCGAATTGAAACTGGGTGAATGCAATAGTATTTAAGCTCGCGACGATGCTTTTCTGACCCATCCGGCGGATCAAAAACGTATCAAAATTTCATATTCAAAAGTGCAGTTACAACTACTAGCCCAAGCATCCCCTACCCAACGTATAACCCTGTAAGCTCAAATTCAGCCTTCATGTACTGCTTAATTTCACGTACGGCCTAGTAGAAGTTTTAGCAAGGAAAATTATTATCTCCGGGACTACCGAAGCTGGGAAATTGAATTTTTAAGATAATGTCTCCCTGTCCACGTACGACCCCGGAAATTTAAATTCAGCTTTTCCTCGCGCATGTCTGCCCCGCTGAAAATTTTGGCAAAATTATTATCTGGGGAATCAGGAAAGCTAGGAAGGTGAAATTTTAGGGGAATGTCCCCTCCCCCATACGACAGTGAAAATCTTTACCAGACAAACGCTAGCTGCATGGAACTGCGCAAAACATATGTTGCACCTGCCACGCATGTGCAGGTTGCTATTTGTTTTCTTGCTGCTGCGATGTGTTCATGTACGTGATGAATTATAGTATACTGATTATTTTCTTGGTGACCTAGTTACGGTTTAATAACCCAAATTTGAGGTTACTGCTATATTATTGGGCCGTCCGGGTACTACCTCTGGAAAGTTTTGTTATTCCGATGTGAACTGATAGTAAAGAGTATTTACTGGGTCCGATTTTAAACATTAAAAAATATATTGATACATTTCAGCAACACGAAGTTGTTGAATAACAGAAGCGATATTGCTACCACCCAAACAAATGCACATTCAGGCAGCCACCAGGATATCTCCCTTCTTGGCAACTCACCCTGCAAGGGGCCCCTCACCTAAAAGCACAAATTATTTCAAATTTCCACTACTGGCTGTTGGACATAAACACGCTTTTAATGAAAACTCGAAATTTTTGACTGTATGCAAACAGTTTAATAGTGAAAGCAATCGAAATAAAGCTATTATTTAACAGCAAACAAAAAGCGAGTTATTTTATGGAATTTAAAGCATCCTGAAACATCATACAACTTGACAATGCAATTCAATTTTTACTACAGATTTTCAAATGCCACACTTTTAATCATCATACAAAGTGAATGTATTTACAGAGGTCAGTTTAACTGCGAGCTGACAAACATGGCGCATAACCAGGCTTGCTACAGAACAAAGAAGAAATCTTGAAAAACGGATGGAAATTCACAAGAATCTTGCGAACTGCTCAAGTCGTTCTGTTTCAGAAACAGTTTTTGAAGGCTGTGACGTCGACGAGCTGCCTTTGCCGGAGGCCCCTTCGCCAGCACTCTCGGAAGATTCATCTCGCTGCTTGCCACCTTTGCCGTGGCACTTTCTCGTGTTTTTGTCTGTGCGAGATTTTTGACTGGAAAGCTGCAACGAACGAAAGTACATGCCAAAAACTCAGATCCTATTCAAAGCCTACAGAATCCGTGCAAAACAAAATCAATAAATGTAATAATAATAATAATAATGGAGTAAGAAGATTGGAATTAGGTGTCATGTATAAGAAGACATTTCACGATGCAGTCTGTGTTTCATCCTTTAGCTGTATACACAGACCGAACAATGCATGCGGGTAAGAGTTGGAATCGTCAGTACAGCCACCTACCCGCCATGTAATTAAAGACATGTAACTAATTTGCAAGGATAAGTGAAAGAGAAAGAGAATGAGAGAAAGTGTAATAGCATGAAAGTAATAAAAGTGATGAAGCAGATGGAAGAGGAGGAGACTAACGTATGAGACGGGTTGTAATTCTATGCAACATATGAGACGGGTTGTAATTCTATGTAAATTATGAGCAGGCAACGTTCATGAAAATAACTTACTAAGCCTTTAATTCCTACATCATCAGGGTAGATTAATTTACTAAGTACCGATCGATTACTGAAGCAAAATCTTAGAACACAGCGTTCTAGCTTGGCAATATCAAACCCTTTTTTATAGATATTTATAAGGCGTTTAGTCCAGTCAAAAAACAATTTAATTAGGCATTTCAGGAAACAAATGCATCTAGTTCTCGATAAAAGAAGCACCAAATTTTGGTACTGACAAGTTACCACTTTCTTTTACTCCTAAACGATGCCACTAGCAATTTTTTCTGTGTCACACATTCTTAAAAGAAATTTTTTCTAAGCATATTTGGGCCAAATTCACTGTTTCTAGTCCGATTCATCCGCCTTAAAATGTTGTTCATCTCCTATGAGCTGGCTGTAGCTTCTTTTTAGCTGGATTTTTTCCTTTTTTTTTTACAGAACTTTGTCCTTTTTCGACAAGATCATGGATTTCTTTGACTGGATTTTTTCCTTTTTTTTTTACCGAAATTTGTTCTCTTTTGACAAGATTATGGTTTTCTTTGACTGCCCTCTGACCTAGCTTTGAGCCCTTCACACAAGTAATTTCATGGTCCTTTTCCTTCCCCTTCCCCCACCCCCTCTCCCCCGTCACTAAAAAAGTTAAGAACATTTCCTCCCTTCCTCCATTTCCCCACCATGCGTTAGAAACTACGTCTATTCACATTACCTCGGTTGTGCTACATCGTGCAGGACGTACTGTAATTGCTTGCGGTACATCCCATGCAGGTAGTTCGGAACTTTGAGATTTCTTTTTGGAAGGTGGAGAGTCAATGGGCGAAGGCGTTTCGTATGAATCGATCCTGAAATAAAATTTTTCATAAAATTTAGTAAATGAAATTTTCGGAACCACAACAACAACAATCATAACAAGTAGCAATCAAACTATTTGCAACAGTTAGTTTCGTATACGTTTAAGAACAGTAAAATTAACTAGTATATAACAACAATAACAGAATACTTACGTCTCACTTCCCTGAGTAATCCTTGCCGAACTGCCTGCACGTTTCCTTTTTTCTAACGCTACACCACATTCACTGTCTTGGTCGACTGACAGTTGATTTCCTTCTGTGTCACCTGGAATAAATCAAAATAACACCTGCCTATACCTGTTTCTCTGTCGCAGACAAAGCTATTATTTTAATAAAATAGGGGCCCTCGCACCAAGACAGCTGGTGCGCTTATGCGTTTTGTGCAATTCCGTTCACCGAACGATTGCCTGTTATTGATTTTCACTGTTCTGAATTTAAATTTAAAGGGTTGCACTGGGGAAGGAACAGACCCCAAAATTTCAGCTTTCTAGATTCCGCGGATCCCTAGATAATTTACTGCCAAAAGTTCCACGGAGTGGTAAGTGATAACCGAGAGCGTGGGAACGCTTTTGTGAGGACACAGGTAGGCAGGGAACATACCCATAAAATTTCAGCTCCCTAGCTTCCGTGGTTCCCGAGATAATAACTTTCCTCGCCAAAACTTTTACGGAGCCGCACGTGTTATCTGCGGATACGAAGAGGCTGAATTTAAATTCGCGGGGTCACACGGGAGTGCGAAACGTTCCCCCAAATTTTCGGCTTCCTAGCTTTTGTTGTTCCCAAGTTGAAAGTTGCGGACAAGTTGCTGCGGAGAAACACACACACACACACACACAGACACAGACACAGACACAGACACAGACACACACACACAGACAACCCCGTGACAACATGTGTTTTGTACTCTATTACATAGCACAAAACGCAAAAAATATGGATCCGAAAGGGATCGATCATTTTCAATTATCCTCTACACCTTCAGGCCTTTCGAATCATAAAGTGTTAATTTTTCCACTACCGATCCTCATACTTATTTCTAAAAATGAACCACTCAACCTGAGATACTGAAAACTAATTTGTATGTATCTGATATCCACATTTTTTCACCCAACACAGTGTCTCTACCATCACAAGAAGCGTATGATTTTTTCAGTTTTTTCAAGCTTTTTGTATATATACAGGAAACTGCTGCCACTGGACTGTTAGCCCATAAATTCGAATACTTTCTGCTCACTTTTTTAGCCTCTAAGATACAGATGTGGAGGAAACTGAACTCCACATCTTCACCACCATCAAAACCTTTCGAAATGTGATTTATAAATTCAAAATCTACACTTAGAAACAAGGACATTTAAATCAGTGGATATGAAATCTATGCACATACACTATATAGTGACTAACTACTACTACCACCACAAAGAGGATACACTTAGTTTCGGCAAGTATATGTGGCAATATAAGAATTAGATTCACAAGAACAATGTATACCAATGGTCAATGAGGTAGGTTTCGGAGCTGGCTTTTTCTTCAGCATTTGCATGAATGGACTGTCATCACCGGAACTTCCCTTATTCTGCAACTAAAACACAATAATGTTTTTTTTTTTTTCATTTTGAATAATAAATATAAATTTAAGCTATCAGAATTGAGGATTATATTGATCTTGCGCATTAATGTTTATTTTATATTACTAAAATGCAAGATGAACTAAATTAAACCTGGCTTAATTCGGATGAATTAACTTTAAACGACTAAGAAAGAAATTTGATTATTTTCCCTTTGAATTCGAACAAGAAAGCAGAATTCTCACGTAATATTCAATTCTTAATAAACCTGGTTAAATGGCTTTTTGTCGGCTGCTGTCGTCTTGCTACCATCTCTTCCTTTACGATTTTTCATCTCCTCCAGCAACAGAACTAAAAAAGGCGAAAAGGTATCAAATTTTTTTAATTTCTATTACAAAATTATCCTATCCAAAATCGACAATATATGATAAAACTACTTGTTTATTACTAAGGCAAATGTAAACATACACGGTTTGATGATACTGTCAGCAAGAACGGGGTCGATGGCTACGGATTTCGTGCAGTCAAAAGTCTTATATATACCAACAAGGCGATCGGCCAGCTCGAACATATTATTTCGTAGAGATATTACTATAAATTGCGCATTTTTGGTACGATCCTGAAAAGCATACATTAAAAACCGGAATACAGTGAATTACTGGAATACATCAAAGCTTAGTAAGCAACCTTCCTGTCAGGAATCTCGCAT